ATCCTTAAACCAGAAGAAGAAATATAGGCCTCCAGTTTTGACTATAATATACACCCATGGATAAAACAAGAGAAGAAGAAATATAGGCCTCCAGTTTTAGTTTTTTTTTTCAAGCAAAATCGTTAGAGCACAAATCTCGGTCAAATACTCCTAATTTTTTAGGATTGCATTTGACAACCAATCCAAAATAGACAAGAAACCAGAAAGATCAAGTTGTTAAAAGGGAGACGATAAAAGGCAGTGCAGGTCAAATCCGGATTTCGATGCCTGCTGCGTAGAGATTTAGAGGGAATAAACAAGGGAAGGTGTTTGGCTCCTCTCAAACTCGGTAACTTTTCCCTTGTTTTCTGATTCATTATAACAAATGATGATTCGTCGGATAGCTTTTTCTCAGCAGAAACTTGAATCGTCTTTTTTCATAAATCTGACTTTTTTTTTATTATTATTTATAGTTCTTTGAGAGGAGAGTCATAATAAATAACAACAGCAAAATGTGGCATCCGAAGGGACCTACAAGTGCACCTTGAAGAAAGGTGGAGGCAAAGAGCTTGTAGCGATAGCCATTGATAAGGACAAAGGGAGCCAGCATGCTTTCAGATGGGCTGTTGAGCATCTTCTTTCCAAAAGCTAAACTGTTGTTCTTATTCATGTTGTTAATAATAAACAACCAAATGGAGCAAGTGATTTTTAATTTTCTACGCTATATATATGTACCGAAACCCTAAATTTAGCTCGGTTGATTACTTGCATGCTCTGTTCTTATTACGTTTATTCTGGTGCAGGTAATGGTGGCGACTCGTCCAACAAGGACAAGCTAGCCAAGGACTTGTTCCTCACCTTCCATTGTTTCTGTACTCGAAAAGATGTAAGCTTATGAATCCAATGCATGTCTTCGACATTTGTTAACGTTGTGGTGTTTAATTTGATTTTATTTGAGCTTGTCTCCTGTTTTGTTGTCCTTTTACAACAGATACATTCGATTGATATCGTACTTGAAGATTCAGATGTTGTTAAAGCATTGACAGAATATGTTTCTTATGTTGCAATTGAGAAACTGGTTCTTGGTGCCCCATCTCGAGGCGGATTTATGAGGTATTTTAACTCTAAATAGAAATGCGCCTGAAATGAAAAAAAAAATTAAAATCTGGTGTAAATGCAGCTTTTGTAAGCTTAAAAATTAAAAGAATGATGGCATTTCATGCAGAAAATTCAGGTCCGACATACCAAACTCTGTAACAAAAGGTATACCAGACTACTGCACTGTATATGCCATTTTGAAAGGAAAGGTATCGTCGGTAAAAAATGTCGTTCGTTCACCTACATTTGCCTCCCCGTTACTTGATCAAATTAAGAAACCGACTACACCTACCTTTTCTAGTAAACCCTCCCTGAGTAATCCTAGTCCAGGAAAAGGAGGTTCGTTTCCCTTATACACTAATGTCCTTTCGATTTAGTTTCCATTTACATCTAGAGTAACTGAAAATGCAATATTTGTATCTTGACTATGCATTAGAAGTTAGGTTAGGGTCCAGGCATAATAATGCTTCTATCAGCAGCGATCCCAGGCAAGTCTCGAGAAATAATCCTGTTAAGCAAATGAACTTGGATTGTCGTAGGAAATGGGATGGAAATGAACTAACCATCATCTTTATAAAATCAGGTCACCAAATCCTCCTACAAGAGCCAGTCTCATGAGAGCATTCGGGGATTTATCAGACTTAGATACTGATATATCGTTTGTTAGCTCAGACGGAACAAGCACTGATCGTAGCTCTTCTTTGTTCTTTGATTCGTTCATTGACTCTAGTCGAAATATGCAGTTATCAAACTGCACAGATAGCATGGGATCAATGCATTCAGGATCGAGGTGGAATGACCATGATTCGCAACTTGATTTCTCGCAACCATCGTGTGACAGTGGAAGAACATCTTGTTCGTCGTAGAGTCTGGTACGTTAATCAGAATGTTTCCTATGGAAGACTAGCTTTAAAATAGCCACATGCACGTTCCGTTCATCTCCTATTATAACATATATTGAAGATGCATATTAGAAACAGAACTGTGTTTGTTTTTGTCTGAGTACTCTCAACAAGTTCATACCGCTTGTGGCTGTCGATTTTCCACTTATTTTATCTAAAATAGACAGGATGAAGTTGAAGCTGAAATGAGGAGACTAAGGCAAGAATTGAAGAAAACAATGGAATTATATGGTAATGCCTGCAGAGAAGCAATTTCAGCAAAACAACAGGTACAAGCATCAAGCATGTCATCTATTAGCCCTCCGGCTGAGTTAAATTTTCTGAAATGTAGAGACTTATTAACCTCAGGCAATGGAGTTAAAATACGCCAACAATCAAGTACAAAGATTGGAAGAGGCACAACGAGCAGAGGAAGCTGCAATGTCAGCTGTAGAGAAAGAGAGAGCCAGGTGCAAAGCAGCCATGGAAGCACAGAAACGAATAGAATCGAAGCGAATGTTAATGAGTTCAGAAAGGGGAGCGCTAAAAGAATCAGAGGAAATGAAGAGGTTGTTGGAGACCCTATCTAATGGTAACATCAAATACAGGATATACACCATTGAGGAAATTGAAAAAGCAACAGATAACTTTGGGCCCTCTCGAAAAATCGGAGGAGGAGGTTATTGTCCTGTCTTTAAGTGTTACCTTGATCATACACAAGTTGCAGTTAAAATTTTGCGTCCTGATGCTGCTCAGGGGAGACTACAGTTCCTGCAAGAGGTAAAAAGCTGATAATATAATTGATTAAGGGATTCTTTAAAGACATTAAATTATCCGAACGTCATGCTGTTGATTATTATTGTTTTGCAGACTGAAGTTCTGAGCTGCATACGACATCCTAACATGGTACTTCTTCTAGGAGCCTGCCCAGAGTTCGGGATTCTAGTGTATGAATACATGGCTAGGGGAAGCTTAGATGATTCTCTATTTAGGAAAGGAAACAACCCAGTATTGTCTTGGCAACTCAGGTTCCGAATCGCTGCAGATATAGCAACAGGCCTACTTTCTCTCCATCAAACAAAACCAGAACCAATTGTGCACCGTGACATGAAGCCTGCCAAGTGCCAACATATTGCTGGACCACAACTACGTTAGCAAGATCAGTGAAGTTGGTTTGGCCAAGTTAGTACCCGCCGTTGCGGAGAATGCGACACAGTGCTGCATAACGTTGGCAGCTGGAACATTTTGCTACATCAACCCGGAGTATCAACAAACAGGTGTGCTGGGGACGAAATCCGATGCATATCCTTAGGGATTATACATCTTCAACTCCTAACAGCAAGGCCACCAATGGGGTTGGCTCACTACGTGGGGCAAGCCATCGAGAGAGGCACGTTTGAAGAGATGCTGGACCCATGCAGTGACGGATTGGCCAGCTGAAGAGACCATGGCATTGGCCAAACTGGCACTTCGATGTGCGGTACTGAGACAGCGAGAAAGGCCGGATATCGACAAGGAATGTTACCAGAACTGAATCGACTCAGAGCGATTGCCGAGGAGAATATGTCTTCTACCATGTTTGCTGGCAACTAGTGACCTTCACCTACCCATAGCCAAAGCTTCTTTATCACACGCGAGGTTTTGAAATTCTGGATCAAAAGGAACAAGCCCAAGGATAACTAAAACATACTAGTTCTAGTAATTCTTTAACAAACTGATTCTTTTAATTCCAAATTATTTCATTCTTAATGTATTGTATGTCCCCCTCCCTATTTAGAATCTTTGGGAAGAAGAGAGAAAGTAATATTCAATTCATTGTTCCATACTAATACTTTCCACTTCCTCTGTTTTACCTTAAATCAAAGTATTATTAAATTCTACTAATTTAAATTATGCTGTTTTTTAGAACTCGGTTGAGTTTTATTCGAAGTTTTAAAAGTTTGTTTGGGTTGAATTCAAATTTAGATATTTTAAAATTTGACACGACCACGTTTATAAATGTTTTACTTTTTTAATGTATATAGTAAAAAGATACCCTATAAATATTTGCGGTGGATGGTTTGAGTTATTTTTGGAGATTTAATTTATAGCATTTTGAATGAGGTTTTCTTGGTGGAGCATACAGTGTTAGCATGCATATATTAATATTTGATTCTACATGTAATTAGTCGTTAGTCGTTTGAGTTTAGGGTTTGAAAAACTTGAACCATTTCTGAAATAAAGAAACTCTTTCTTTATATTTCTAAGGTAAAGAAAGTTTCTTTCAATCAAGAAAACTCATTTTTCATCCTTTTATTATTATCATTATTATATAATTAATCACCTAAGCTTTGATAGCGGTCTCAATTCAATTTAGTATCGCGTTCATCAAGAAACTAACCTGAATTCAATTATCTTTTTTTTGAATTGATTTTGAATCATTCATAAGATTATGATCGAACAGCTGCCAAAGAATTTAATTCGGCGATGACAACAATCGTCTGATAAGGGAGTCCCTGAAATTTTTATCGACAAGTAATTATGATCCGATATCAAAGGAAATGTTGCTAACGGACAGAAAATTATCCGATGGAGGTAGTAAGGGTTCAGCACACGTCCCGAAAGGTTCCATAGCAGTGTACGTAGGACCGGAGCTCCATGGGTTTGCTATTCCGATTAGATGTTTAGCGATGCCGGCAGCTGAGGAATTTGGATTTGGGAACGAAGGAGGTCTACAAATTCCATGTGATGAACGAAGTCTCAATTGAATGGCTGATATTAAGAAATATCAGCATCTTTTCCAAATATGTTATTCTTCTAACCACTCAATGATAATAATTCTTCTCATGTAAGATACTGAGAACAATGTAGGAAAATGAAAAGATTTTTTTTTTTATTTTATAAATATTAGCTTATTAAGATTCAATCTGAGGTATTCATAAATTCTTCTATATGTATTTATAAAAAAACATATTGAAATTTATATAAAAAAATGTATATCAAAATTACTAAAAATACCTAATAAATATCAACATTCATAAATAAAAGTGAGAATGGGTATTCAAAAAACTGCTCACCATGACTATTATTGATAGTATGCCTCTTAAAAACCATGATAAGTGTTCAACATTCAGTCTTGCAATGAAGGGTAATTGAAACCCAAAACAAACTTATGGCTGAGAATAATGTGTATAACAAGTATATAACATGCAGGGTCAAGTTTTCATTTGAATGTAGCAAACACTAAATGCTAATCAATCCTGAGGAGCAGAAGTTAAGAATCATCTTCGTTTGATCACTTGGTTACACGGTAACTCTGCATCACATCAAATATTAAAAGGTCAAGTTCCATGAGAATATTGGCACGGACGATCAAGCATCGCATGGTCATGAAAATATCATAACTGCAAAGCGGGAAATCATGAAATAAGCACCCATACCTTAACCCGTTTGAGCAGGTCCTTGGCCTTGGCATCATTGTTGAAGTGATCACGTACCGGCTGTAGATAAAGGATTCGTAAGAAAGTTAGATTCACATACATTTAAACTACATAAGGTGTTGGAAGATTTTGAATGTAAGTTGCAGCACCAGCATCATCAATCCAACATGATAAACCACATTTTCAACACATTTTAGCCCACAATCTCGTAGTGCCATAACAAGCACATTGGCATCATGCTTACTAATGACAACACCTAATCACACTTTACTTTTAAAATAAAGAAACAAATGGCAACAAGTCAAAAAGGATTTGTCTCACGCTCCATTGTTCTCAAGTAATTCACAAACCTTACGCTAGAAGCATGGGAAATTAGTAATAGCATTATCACAGACTGACACAGCACGCAGTTTATAATCAGTCATTCAAGAATTTTCCTTCCTCCAAATAAACATTTTTTCACAATTTTTTTAAACAACTGGCATATCATGATATAGTTCATAATTAATGATATCAAACTTAACATTACCAGCGAATAAAACCATAATATAGTTCATACTCAAACCTTAACGTATTTCATGATTAATTCAAATTGATATGTTCTCTGTACAAGGCTAAAATAATTAAACAGAAAAAGAAAAACAATGAACCAAAGGGTTAGCATACCTTTACCTAAGTGTACAACTTCAGAACAAAATAAGAAAATAAAAGGAAAATTTGTAAATTAAATGACTATGCAAGGTCCATCAAGCCATTACTTCGAGCAATATTCTTTTTGGTATATAGAACTAAAATTTATGACATGCTTTACCTACCCTTCCTGGGCAACATTTCTAGCTGCCACGGATGCAGGATTATAGCAACCAAAATAGGAAAATGAAAATTCAAACCAAGAAGCTAAATAGGTTGTTAAGGCATGCATCTATAACTTAAATACCTCAAATCAAGCCCTTTTGGACTATGCACATTTGATCAAGGACACACCTGGTGCTCCTAGGCACCATTTTAGGTAAGGTAATCAAAGCTCATACAAAGCCTGGTGCAGATAATCAGGCGGGTCTCAAAATTTGTTGTGTCTAACCAAAAAGATTTGGACTCTGGTTGTCTGCTAGTGACTGGACTCGATTGCAACAGGATAGAGTTAACAGAGGGTTTTAGGTTTTTTTCTTCAAGCATTACCTAGTTATCAACAGGAGGGGTAAAAAACATAAAAGGTAACACATGCTTACCTGTAGTATCTTGTTTAAAGCTTTAGAAAGAGCAGGCTTCAAATCACCAGGGTGCAACTGCCCACTCTCATAGTCAGAAACAAGCTCCTCAAAATCTTTATAAGTCCTAAATGAAATGATAACAAATTAGTGCAATGCCATTCAAAAACAGCGGGATAATGACAGACTATAGATGGCTTGTTAAAAGGTTAAAGTGAGTTAAAGCCTAAAGGATTTCTGAAACTTCCACTGTGAATGCATGAGCATTAATTTCCAAAATGGCCCATCCATTGTTATGCTGAAATATTAATGAACGTATTGAATCACTAACTTGTCACCACCATTGTCTGCATTGCGCTCCACCTTGAACTCATTGAACCACGGGAATATGATGTACTTGATGTATTCCAAACATGGGTTCCCCTCAACGGTTTTAGGGGGGCAGTATGCCTTCTTTATTTTCACATTCACTTCTGCCTGTGACAAGAATCAAAAGAAAGTATTAGGCACATGACTTAACAACACATATGTTAATCCCCCAGGTCAAAGATAGACTACCTCTTCATCTTCCATGAAGATTGATGATGACGGATCACTTTTGGACATTTTTTCTTGTCCTTGCTGGAGACCAGGAAGCATATCTGCACGTCATTAAACCAAGAGCAACTAAGATTAAAGGAAAAGGAAAATAAAAAAGTACCAAATTATATATACTGAAGTAGGACAATACGATGAGATAAAATGATCGGTTTGTTTTTCCTCTTTATGTCATCACAGTATTCCCTTGCAAGCACATTAACCTTCCTTTGATCCATGCCTAGCTGGCAAATGTCAGCCTGTCCAAAAAACAATTCCGACAAATAAAAGTTTTAAATTAACATTATAACCTGTAAAAAAACATCGAATATACACGAGAAAGGCTACAGCTTGTAAAAAATAATCCAGAATGAACTACAGAAAAATGGAAGGAAATCCAAAGCAATTTTTCTCAACTCCAAACAGAATTTGATTTTTTTCTTTATTTAGATATGATTGAAACAACTTGAATAAAAGAATAATGCTGAGAGAAAAAAAATACTCAATTCCTCAAAGAAAAGGATAACAAATGATGTCCTAGTGAAATTTCTGAATTAGAAAAAGAAAAAGGAATAGATGTTCAAATACACCTGCTAAGCCTTTTTAAATTGCGGGTTTCAAAATTCCACCTTCAAAGTACAGATCCAGTGGCAATAAGAAATTTGGTTATTTTTCCAAATTTCAGGGGGGAATTTCAATCTGAAATGAGCAGTTGACATGAGGGCCATGATAGAGACTTTATAAAATATTGGTTATCAGTAAGATTTAGATCAAGCTAGTCCCTTTTTTTTCATTCCAAAACCAATCCATGTTATTTTCAACAAGATCAGAATAGATACATTGAGTAATTAGAAGAAAGAACTTAAAACACAAGTACCACTTGCACTGTCATTGAGATTTACATATAAATAAATCATTCTAAAGTTCTCAAAAATCCTATAAAGCAGAAAAAGGATAAATTCCAAAGCACAATCACCTTGAGGAAAAATATGTCAGCACACTGCATGCATGGGTAAAGAATTTGGGCAGCTGACAGCTCATCTTGCTCACTACGTCCCATAATTTGACAACACCTATAAAACAACAAATTTTGTGTATTAAGAGTCAACAAATGAATTGAATTACTACACGTAAGGAAATAACAGAGAAAAAAGATTTTATTAGCCCCACACCTCATTATCCTGGGAAGCTTGTTTCTGCGAGCTATATCCATCACCAGTGGCCAATACTCTGATGCCCTGGAGTTAATTTCATCTGAAGACCACAAGTTCAGATTCATGCCGACTGCCTTCCATATTTCAATCAAATACTGTCCAACCACTTTGATTTTCTTCAAGTCACCACCCATTTTATTGTTTAGCTGTGCAAACCAATCTGCAATCCAGATTTTCACTCTACACCCAGCAGAGGTCAGTTTGTTGACATTTATTGCCTTCACAATTCCCTGTTTTCCACAAATATTACATATAGCAATTTTTAAGAAACAATTAAATCAGTATAGAACTACAAAGAAGATAAATCTTTGAATTCAAATCATCAGAGAAAGATTAAATTGCCAGATTTCAATTTGTATCAATGGGTTGGGAATAATAAACAAATCCATGATTAGAATTTCTGTATAAATCAAATCAAATAGAGCATCGGCTTCAGTTCTGAGATTCAATTTCTACATTTAGTTATTATTCAATAAAATGCAGAAAATTTTGCGAAATAAAATACTTAAGACGATTCTATAAAATAAAAAGAATAAATACCTGAGCAATGTGCATTCTGCCGGAAGGCTCGAAGCCATCATAGCAAATGGGTTCAGGCTTGTGAGTGAGAAGGTTTAACAGTTCATCCTCTTGAATACATTCTTCCCCTACGCTTCTTATAATCTTAAACCTTTCTTCTAAACTCAACCTGAGACCATTATTTTAAAAAAATGAATAATTGAACTCGATTTTATCTAAATTTGAAAAAAAAAATGAAACTAAAACGAAAATCACTTACTGTGGAGTTGAAGAAGAAGAAGATGACGGAGGATGAGAGCTGACAGAGAGTGATTGCATGTCTGAGGAAGTTGTGGTCTGATCGGCAGGCGATTGATCCGCCATCGGTTCAGAGTGTATTGCGACGGCGTTGGCAAAGAGTTTACAACACAAACTTGGCTAATCCAGATTTTGGTAAACCCTAGTGTTTTGAATGTTTTTTCGCTAAGTGCATGTTAAATCTCAGCCTTCGATACGGCGGCTTTGGCGGCTTAAGCATCCGTCGTTGAAAGTTTTAAAGTTGGCTATATATCTACTGGAGGGTAAAATTAAATTTTGATTATGTAATTAATTTTAGGGTAAAGTATATAAATAATTTTTAAATTTTTAAGATATTTGTATTTTGATCATCTAACTTTTAAAATTTATAATATAATCATTAAATTTTTAGTTTATTTTCAATAAAATCATTGTTGTTACCTTCCGTTTGTTAGGGTTGATGTGGCAATTACCTCCCGTTATCTTTTTATTCTTATTCTTGCTCCAACTGAGCACATCACATTGTTTGTCGGCTTCGTCGTCACGTATCACAGTTTGCGTTTCTCTTCTCTCTTTTTCTTCTTGAACATCGACGACAAATCGAATCCCTCCGATAGAGAAATTATGTGGAATGCGTTCAAAGTTTCCGACTTCGACGATTTGTCCTCGTTGAAACATTCAAATTCAAACTCTTCCTTGGATTTAATGATTTTGGGTTTTGTTTTTTTTAAACCGTGATGAGTCTAAGATCTTGGGGATGGTGATTCGGGTTTTCGGATTCAGGTCTAAAAGCTTAGTGATTAACCGACCAGCTTCAGGTGAAAACCATGGCGGACAGTTGAAATTTCCTCTATAATTTTTTCTATACATGTCGATCAAGTTATCATCTTGAAGAGGAACGAATCCATTGAGAATAACATAAAAGATAACGTTGCAAAACCAAATATCCACTTTAGAACCATTATATCCTTTCTTCCCGATGACATAGGGGGCGACATAAGTCGGCATTCCACAACTCGTGTGTAACAACCCATCTTGTTTCAAGTGTTCGGTGAAAGCACTGAGACCAAAATTCGTAACTTTCAAGTTCCCATCTTCGTCCAACAGTAGAATCTCCAAATTCAAGTCGCGGTGGTAAACGATGCGGTTGTGACAGAAATCGACTGCGGAAATCAACTGTTGGAAGTAAACTCTCATCGTTTCTTCCTCGAGGTAGCCATTGGCGACTTTCATGAAGAGTTATATGTCGCGGACGAGTTCCATGGCGAAGTAAATCTTGGTTTTGCTCACCATCACTTCGTAATTCAACTATGTTGAGGTTTTTCAACATCTTCACGAAGAATAAGAAGAAGATAACGGGAGGTATCTGCCACGTCAACCCTAACTAAAGGAAGACAACAACAAGGATGACCAAAATGCAAGTTTGATGACAATATTACAAGTTTTAAAAGTTGGATGACCAAAATATAAACACCCTAAAAGTTCAGGAACTATTTATATACCTTCCCCTTATTTTAATTGATATTAAAATTTTAAGATAATTTTTTTTATTAATTTGAATGTAAAAATACTTTTAGAACTATAAATAATATTAAATAAAATTTGTATTTGAAAAATATGTTTTAGAGAAAGGAGTGTATTTTTAATTTTCCTTTTTTTTTGTTTTGATCCCACAAAAGAATTAGCCGTTTTGTGTATATTTAATTTTCATTTATTGTTTTATAATAATTTTATTTTATAATTATAAAGAAAAATAAATATGAATTTATTAAAAAGACTTGGTGTAAAAGGGAGTGTTGATTTTTTAGAAATTTTGAATTTAAATAATTATATTTGTATTATATATGTATGTTGTCAATAACTAAGAAATTTTATGAACCTATATTATATTGTAATTGGTCTAAACTATTTAAAAACATAATATATAAATGATTAATTATTTGAAATTTTATTTATTAATCTTTTTAAAAGCATTACTTTATTTATAGGATATTTTCTATTAAATTTTAGAAATATTATGAGCGTCGAATAAAAATTTAAAAAATGAAATTGTTAAAATTTTATTGTGTGATTTATATTATTTATTACAATACACGTCGAACTTGTCATACCCTCATGATGAATTTCATATAATATATTAAAAAATATAGTTCATTATGTAGACTTGACGAGTTCTAATTATTAATTTTATTTTATAGAACTCAAAATAAGAGTACGAGAAATTTCAAAAATATTGTAACAAATAATTTAAATCCCAACTTAATTTTTCAACACTCATATTTTCCTATTTTTTTAACCGAATTTTAAGTAGAACCATGTGTACCATCTATCATGAAAATTTTTGGACACGGGTTTGAATAGATAGACCCACGTGTGTTTTGGACCCAGATGAATATGACCAAAAGTTGTTCATTTTCATTCTAAACTTTTCAGCTATCTTCTCGTCGTTTTTGTTATTTAACTCATCTGCCCATGCTTGGAAATTTCTAGGTATTTTTAGCCACAGATACACACACATGTACAATAATGTTTCATTGATTTGTTTTATATAATGTCATGTGTAATTATTTACGCACATTACTATAGTTTGGTTAATTATTTAATATTAAAAAATTTATAATATTATAAAACCGTCTTCTTTCTCTTTTCCCCTTATATTATTTTTTTAATTTTTTATACTTTTTTAACAACAATATTAATCTTAAGTTGATTAATTGTTTTTTTCCTTTTTTTATTTCCCTCTCTTACCCTTGTGTTTTTTTATTATTAATTTTCTTTCTTTCTTTTTTTAATAAAAATGATAGATAATCTTATTTACTCTCATGTATGTATATTTTCAATGATCATATTTGACGTCGCATCTCTAGATCCATGTCATTTGTTCGATTATCATGTTAACGTATTTTTATTTTTGAATCTTTTTTAAAATCACTATAATATCTTCCATCCGAATACTCCATATGTAGTTTCCTGTAACTGTATCTATAAGAGCTTACCCTAAGCACAAAGCAAATGAGCCACCCTAAGGGAGTACCTTAGGGCCTATGGGCCTACTCAAAGGTCACCTTAGGTCCATAAGAAATTACCAGCTTGATCAGAGTTGGACCTCCGTACTCCAGACTCCTACCCATACAGTATTCAATATAAATCAGATTTAGCAGTACCCTATAATATCAAAATCATGATCGAGTAGAATATTGTAAAAATGATTATGTAGTTAATTTAAATCACATGAACATCCTCCACCCATACACCATATGCAGTTCCCCATAATTGTATTGTAACACCCCCCAACCCGTACCCGACCAGATACGAGTCCGATGCGTCACATTGACTTTTCAAAACATTTACTTTTTCCCAAAAGAACGAACTTTCCAACTTTTATTAAAAACAAAAGGCATAATTTATACAATTTAGGTGAAAAAGTTTACAAAACTTATCAGAGCGGATACAATTCAAATCTTTAATTACATTACAACTGCATTCTCTATATCTTAATACATATTATTCATTTATCTTCTGATCTGACATTCGGTAAGGAGAAACTGACATGTCTTGCTCCTCTTCGATCCATAAGCTTGTCAAAAGCTACGTGTGAAACACTCACACGCTAAATCGATGACTTAGTGAGGCATATAAACATATAATGGAAATTCTAACTCATAACAATGCATGAACACTTAAGACGCTTATATCATGCACAAACATATAATTTTTCATATAACAAATACACACATGCATATATATATATATACCATCATATATTAACTTAATACAGATATCATATAACCAGTCATATGAAAATTATATTCACGCACATCATATATCACATATACCACTTCACACAAATCACAACGCATTATCATATCAAGTTTATTTATATTATCTTTTGGTTGCCCATGTACATTACTGAGAACTTAAGGTATGTGAGTACATAGAGGTTGTGCACTATGCTGTCACCACAGCTCGTATAATTCCCACTAGAGGCGCGTAGAATTTATCCCGAAGGACCACTATGTCCCAAAGGACCACATAAAACACATATCATATATGTCCCGAAGGACCACATAGAACCCTCGACTCTTGGCATGCCAACTATACCTATCTCTCATAACACATAGCATGGGCATTGTCACTTATGTCATTCATATATACGCATTAATATCACATATCATGTAATACTCTCATAGAGTCTCATATCACATGTTCACATGTCACATAGGCACATTCACATCGTTCATATCACTTTTCATATGATCTTATATTCATGTATCACATAGCTCATAACACTTCTCATGTGTTCATATCAACATGTATGTTTTATATTGTTCATATATATTTCCCATATATTACATAGTTTATATTTTGTTCTCTTATGTTTACCTAGATCATATAGGTCATGTCTCATTGAGTTCCTAACCTTCCTTGAGTAATCCCTTATACCGTATCATATAGCTTACCCTTGAGTTATCTTATGTTCACCTATATATATTATATAATTCTTATAACTTATGTCACATGTTCATATCATTCCTTATTTTATCTATTATTTCGTACTCTTATATAATCACATAGATCATTTATACTATTTCACCTGGTTTATCCCACTAACATGTGTATACATAAATCATGTAATATACTACGACATGACAATACATATATTATATTCACATATTTCAATATCCTTGGACTTATTTCACTTTATTATATTAAAACATAGAAATGTCATCTTATGTGCCCTATCAATACTATCTATTCATATAATTTCATTTTACCTTATAAATAAATACTACTTATTTAACCTCACTTTTTGATTTCGTCACCTATTTATTTATGTCAGTTCACATGGTTTATTACACAACTTCTATCACTTTTTCATGTATTACACATATCTTGTCACATATCTTATATATTATCATCATATCATTACATATACCAATTTCACATGAAATCACATATAACTATATTCATGTATTCATGCATACATAATAATCATATTACCCATATTAACAATTCATAAATCATGCAATCAAATATTGGAAATAGACTCATCACGAGTCTTTTTCCATACACATCATATACCAATGCATATGCACTCACCTGACCTCACTATTCAATACTGATATCTTATTTCTTTTCCTTGATGCTTATTACTTGTCAACTGGTCTGGACTTGTTCTCGATCGATATCTACATAATCATATATTGGTACATATCAATATTCCAATTGATAT